CTGTACAACTTCTTCTTTAGTCACTGAAAGTTGGGAAGCTAGCAAATTATAGACAGAAAGTAGCTGGGATTGATGCTAGAGCAGAATACATGACAGTCATTGAAGCGATAAAGGAAGTTATAGGGTTGCAGATCTTGTGAGTTAGCTTGGGTTAATACTAGATCAAAACAAGGTATATTATGATCTCCAATGTGCATTATGTTTGGCAAAAAACCTAGTTTTTACCATGCAAGGATCAAAGATATGAATGGGGTATCATTTAATTAGGAAGGTCACTGAAGAAGCCATAATTTCATTTGCTAAAGTTGATACCAAGAAGATGATGCTGACTTCAATTACTCGGTTCGGGCTTGAGACTCGGCCCTAACTTGAGTCGAGTTACTTGTGGTCTAAGTGGACTTGCCCAAGTTACTAAACAATTTGCAAACAAGTACAAAAAAAATTTGTTAAAAATATCAAAAAACAGTACAAAAACTAACAAGTCAAACAATATTAAAGTCTACAAAATATAGGAAAAACTACGTAGAATATGGATTATGGGAAAATCCGATTTGTTGCTTGTAACAAAACATAAAAGTAAAAAAAAACAAAAAATAAAATAGAGCAAAAATTCACAAATCATTATAAAAAGCATAAAGGTATAGAGAACCCTCCAATTTCTGCATATTACTTGTTAACCCCTTTTAGCGCCTTTTTGAATCTTTTCTTTTGCCCTCACGACATATATCGATAATCCAATGTTATAAAGCCCGTTGATGATTTTGGATTTTCAATATACATAACCATCTTTGAATTTTTGAAAAGTAAATTTGTTAGGTTAAAAAAAAAAACTAAAGGATTTCGGATTATGAAAATCCAAAGTCATTTTGATTTTGGATTTTTAATATCCAAAGCCACTTTGGGTTTTAAAAAAAGAAATGCATTCTTTTGTACCAGATATGTGGTTGGTTGTTTATTTCTTTTGTGTTTATTTCTTCTTTTTTGTTTTTGTGGATTGTTTTCGTTTATATATATATATATATATATAACTTCATGATTAGGATTAGAATTTTATAAAGAGCAAAAATATGAAAAAAAGAGGAAAAGCCACTAATGTTTGAGAAAAAAATGGGTTTCACCAAAAAGACAACATACTAGTTGAAAATCAATTCTCTCTCTATTTAGGAAGAAAAAAAATACATAGAACAATTTCTCAGGGACTAGTGAATTTAATCATCTTCTATCACGAAGATAGCTTCTGTAAAGAAGTGAACAACGTAAATTTGATGTTGTTTTTGTATGTGGTTCGATCTTTTTTTCTTTTAATTTTAATTTTATATTTTAAATTTGTAATATGACTCGAAAAATACTAATTAATAATCTATAATGATTAGATTTGTCTTGCTTTCGCCTTGAAGTGGAGTAGACCTTTTTTATTTTTTATTTTTGGGTAAAGTCAGTGTATAGTTTTTAAACACAGCCCTATCGTAAGGAACCTGCCACATCGAAGGATAAATGGCGGACTTTTGTAGGATAAATCTCTGCCTCTCGAGCTGGAGTGGTGAATTTTGTAACATGTAATGGGACAAAATCATAAATCATAGAAATAATGTAGAGAGAGACGAATACCCTATCTCTAAGTGCACATTATTTTCTTAACAGACGGCAATGTGTGCAGAGGAAGACAAACAACCCTCTCTCTCTCACCTCCAAAGCTTTTTCCGTCGTGTTAGGAAAGGGGTTAGGTCGTGGTGGTAGCACCCCTAACCATGTTAGGAAAGGAGCTAGGTCGCGTGTTAGGAAAGGGGTTAGATCGTGGTGGTAGCACCCCTTACCATGTTAGGAAAGGGGTTAGGTCATGATGATAGCACCCCATACCAAGTTTACACGTTGTGGTTTTCAATTCTATTTACACCACCAACTGATATTTTAAAAATAAAAAAGTAAAAAAATAAAAATAAAAATAAAAATAAAAAAATTTCACGTTGTGATTGTTAATCCTACCGACACCACCAATTGACATCTTAAAAAATAAAATTAATAAAAACAAAAAAGAGGTTACATGAAAAAACGGGTATGGACGTGTTTCCTACACTGAATCACCTTTAAAAAAAAAAAAAAACTCCAAAGCCTTCGCATGCCTTCTCAACAGGTTACGACCAAAAAGCATGCTACTTTCGCTCCCCTAAAACTAGGGTTTAAAAATACGGTATTGTACCTAAGTTGAGGGAGTGATACTCGATGAGAATCAGTGATTTGTTATTCAAATTAACATACATATACAATAATTGTATAAAATGAATTAAAACAAGAGGAATAGAGACTCAAGGCTATATAGTTAGGGTTCTATCTTGGTTAGGAGACGCCTTAGTCTTTATTTTCAATTTTATATTTCCAATACGACTTAAGTATTATTTTTTTCATATTTTTAAACATCAAAACAGTTTCTTTCAAGGGATTGTGGATGTGCATCTCCTAGATTTTAAGGTGTCAACCCTATATAAACTTTTGTAATGAACGAGTCAAAATTCGAACTTCTCCAACCTAGTCTTGGAGAAGTGCCATGATCAAGGAACATGGTTAAAAGCTTTATGCCATCCTTATTTAGAGAGTAAAATTTTAAGGCAGTTAAATTAAAGATATTATCAAATTTACATCATTCAAATAAAACAGATGGTCTAGATCATGATAACCTTATTTATATATGTGAGGTTTTAACCATATATAAATTATTTTTTCTAATAATTTTTTTTTTTTTGGGTGAATACTCCTAAGTCCTTGCATTTGTGGTTTCTTAAGCTTTGGGTAATTTAGTAAAAAGTCCTAAAACAAATGGTAAAATCTAAGGAAATTATCATAGATATACTTTAATTTAAGTTTAATTGGAAAAAAATTCCAAATTTTTGTTTGTCTCGTCTACACTTTTTTTTTTTACCAAAATTACTTTCACGTATTGCCGTAATAATTAGTGCAAGTCATACGGTACTTTAAGTACAATAATACTTAGAGAATTTTATATGGTATTTTAAGTACCGTAATACTGAGGCCATTTTATATGGTACTTTAAGTATCATAAACTTACACTGACTTTTATACGGCGTTTTAAGTACTCATAAACACTAACCCATCTTATATGGCAAATCCTTTTTATATTTATCTATTTCATCACTAATTTCTTTTTTTGATCTATTTTTTCTCTCTGTTTATATTTATCTACTTCATCTCTAATTCTTTTTATATTTATCTATTCTTTCTCTCTCATTCTTTTTCATATCTATCTATTTTTTTCACTCTCTCATTCTCTTTTATCTCTTATTTCTCTCTCTACAATCTTACCCTACGAGTCAATTTGGACACGACCAAATATCCCAGTTAGAGAGAGAAAGAAGAGATAAATATTAAAAAGAATAAAAGAGAAAAATAAGAGATAAACATAAAAAACTAGAGATGAAAAAGATAAATATAATAAGGAGAAATGATTTACGGCATTTTAAGTGACGTATAACCTGGGTTAGTTTTTACGGTACTTAAAATGCCATAAAATTGGTTTTAGTTTTTAAAATGCTGTAAAATTGGTTTTAGTTTTTATGGCTTCACGGTCATAGCCATAGTAGTTTTACGGTACTTAAAGAACCGTAATGCTAATTGAAGTTACTACGGTATTTTAAATACCGTATAAAATGATACCTATTAAAGTATTACGGTATTTTAATTACCGTAATACTCCTTCAACTTATTATAGTATTTAAATTATCGTAATATTTTTTATGATAAAAAGACTACCGTGAAGGTTATTTTTGTCCAAAAAAATCCGAAAATTGTAAGAAAGGGTGTAGGTGAGGTTTTGAAAAATTGAAGGCTTTTTTTTTCTGATTATAATAAAATATAGGTATATTAACGATAATTTTCCTAAAATCTACTGTATGACAAAGAGCCGTTGGACAATTGGAAAATGGTACGACAACAACTCTATGAAAATAAGTAAATCCACACTCATAACTCATCAAAATTATACTTCCAGCATTGTGAAAACTTTTATATCGCTCATCTTGGCTTGGACATTTTAGTTGTGAAAAAAAAAAGGATTTTAAGCTCAAAAGTAAGTTTATATTATAACAAATCATCTAGACTGTTTATTTTACCCTAAAAATAAGTATTTATAGATCCGTAAGATTTATATATCTTTTAAGTTTCAAATGTTATTATCAGTATTAAAAATTGATTTTAGAGCTACAGTAGAATTTTTTATCATGAAAGTCCTTTTGAGAAGAGGCTTTATTTTGTTTCCATGAACCCGTGGTAGAAACCTCATCCACAAATTTTGCTACTCTTCCCCCTCAAAGGGCAAGTGCAAGCTTGATATTTTCCAATAAATGAGGGGCTATTAGTTGTTTTCTCTCGAAGTGTTTATAATTTTTCAGCGCTCAAATGATTTCTGTCCTGTAAATTTACTCTCCCTTCTGAAACTCTGGCGTCGGCTCACAAAAAAGACACTATTTTCCCCCTGTTTTTGAAGCATTTTTATCGCTAGGTTAGTAACTTTCAATTAATCAAAGTTCACATTTTTACAGTTTTAATCTTAAAGTTATCTCTGACATGAACGCTGTTTTTTTTTTTTTTTTTTTTTTTTTTTTTTTTTTTTTTTTTTTTTTGGAACTCGGGTTTTTTTTGTTGATTGTTCCTGATCTCTCTCTCAGTAAAAATATTGTTTTTCACCATGGATATGGTTAATTGTACCTTCCAGATATCTCTTTCTGTCTGCCACTTATCTTTCTCTCTCTAAAGTCACTATAAGTATCTTGTTTATGGAAATTTATTGAGATGGGTCTGTTTTCTCTGTGATTTACTGCGACATTCATGAGATATAGGTGATGCTCTTTAATGGGTTCTTGGCCCTAAAGCTATATGAAAAAGACTATGTATCCATTTTATTTTCTTCCTGTTAATGCTTGGAAATTTGGAATCATTTTAGCCTCTCAGGTGAAAATTGGGTTTTTGGCCATTTCTTGCATTGCATCTTCTTTTACTCTTTACTATTCTTTTTGAATGTTTATCTTCTTTTACTCTTTTGATGGGCTTCCATTTGGGTTTTGAGGGAAATGAGGCTGCTATAATTAACTGAAGTTTCTCTCTCTCCTACTCGTTTCTTTTCTCTCTTTGGTTAATTTGGAGACTCTTAAGGTACATTTAGTAGATTTTTGCTGCTTCAATGTGCTGGTTTTCTCTCTTGGTTTCTTTCTGAGGTTTGAGGGAAATGTGGCTAGATCCCGCATAAGGGATAGTTTAACTGATCTCTCTCTTTCTCTCTGAACTTTCTCTTTGGAGGTTGTGGGAGAGTGAGCATGTCTCTAAGTTTAGGCCATGTCGAGTTCTAGCAGAAATTTTTGTGGGTTTCTCCCTACCATTTTGGGTCTTCAGTGGGATGGATTTTCTTCTTGACCCCGTTTCATTAGTTTTTTTTTTTTAGTTGGTCTTTTTTTGGGTATTTTTGAAGAAAAATACTATCTATTTTTAATGTGCTCGATAGACTGCTCCAATTGGTTAGTGGTCTCTATTTGGTTGATCTCTGCTAGATTTAGTCAAGTTGCTAGCTATATGTTCTAGTTCAATGAATCCCACATTCGAATCCACGGATTCTTTTATGGGGGTTTTCATTGTTTTATATTCCTGTTTTGTGTTTGGTCATGATGACTTGCTTCCTCTTGGTTCTAAATGGGGCTTTTAAAGGATGTAAAACTAGATTGTTTGGATTTCTAGGTTTTAGAAACTAGATTGTTTGGATTTCTAGGTTTTAGACTATTAGTGATGAGTATAAGTTAGCTTTTCTTTAGTGCTCTTCTTCTTCACTCTCTGTTTTCTTTCTTTGGCATGATCTTTAGATCTTGAGTTGATGTTTTGAATAAGAATTCCTGTTTTTTAATGTGGCCGATGAACCGCTCAAAAATGTTTCGTTGCCTAAAGTACTTGGAGGAAGTTTTACTATATTTAGTGGGACATTTTGATTTCGCTCATCTGTTTCCTGCTATTCAGAATCTTCAGTGGGTTTTTAGTGTAGACTCTTTTCTTCATACTTCAATTTTATTTTGTTGGGAAATTCATGCTCTAATTCAACAGGATCACTAATCTCAGCTGAGCAAACTTCATTTTACACTTGTTCCCTTCTTCTTCTTTTCTTTCTCGGAGTACTATTCTTTTTTGTGCAGAGCTTATTTTGTTTTTCATTGCGCAGACTGATAAATTCTCTGTGTTTTTAATTTCATTTGTTTATTCGTATGCTGTCTCTACATCTTTCTCTCCCTCTCAATTCTTTGAGTGTTAATGTCAATTTTAGAAGAATCTGTAAATCTGCTCTGCATATTGAAAGCTGAATGATGTTTCTTCTGCAGGATCGATTTGAACTCATTTAAAATTTCTCAACCATTTTGAAAGGTTCTTCTCAGATCTGCAGCAGTTTCTCAAAAGGTCTATCTTCATACCCATTTGAAATTATTTGCAGGTTCATGAGTTTTTTACTTCAAATATTTATGGAATTTTTTCTCTACTGATTGAGTAGGATTTGATGAACTCAGTAAGGCCAAACAAATGGCGCAGCAGGTATTTTTAATGTTCCCCTTCATGGAATTGTGCTGAATTTAGTGGATTCACTAATTTTGTCCAAATTAAATGCTCTTCTCTTCTTTTCTTTTTTTTTTTTTTCTAGGAAGGTGGATGGCCTCTTGGTTTACAGCCATTACATGTGAGAGTGAACCTCATGGAAAACCATGTATTGACAGAGCCCAGAGCCTTTAATACCTTAATAGCCGTATCTCCCAGTTTCTCTTCCCAATCTTCATCGGATCTCGACACTGTGGCAAGTTCTCTCTCTCTATATATAATGAATGAAATCATTTAATGTTTTTTGCACTGTTTTGTATGAAGTTATGTTGAATACTCTCTCTTGGTTGTTGATAAAAAGTGAGATAACCACACAGTTCCAGCCAGAAATTATGTTAAAAAACCGTGCACTCGTCATTTGATTGCAATTTCATTAGTTCTTCAAAGTTTGATTTAATTGTATCTGTATCTTTCAGGAATTAATCTTTTCTAGGCTTCTTTCTCTAATTGTTAGATTATAATGATATTTTTGGGTGTTGATGCCAAAAGTCATGTTGTTATAACATGAGTCTCTTTCAGATGTGGACCACTAGTAGCTGTTTCTTTTGGACCATCATTTTCATTTCAGTGTTGCTCAATAGATAGTTGAAAATGAGATGTTTCTACTCTTCCTCTGAATAACATGTCAAAATCAACCTCAGTTTCTACATTTTCATGTGATTTAGGCCGAATGTCTTCTCTGTCTTATGTGTGTTCAGAGAGAGTGTGAGGAAGAGAGAAGGAATGAGAGTGGGATGCAATTGCGAGAGAGATGTCTGTTATACGTTGTATGTATATATTTCAGAACTTATGTAGATACAGAGAGAAATCTATCATCTGTCTTATATGAATATACATATGTAGGTTGGTATGGGTTTTTTGTTTTTGTTTTTGTGGGGTGTTGGGGGAGAGAGAGAGAGAGAGAGAGAGAGAGAGAGAGAGAGAGAGAGAGAGAGTAGTAGTTAGTTGTTAGTTCGTACGTACGTACGTACTACTTACTTACTTTACGTTCGTTCGTTACGTACTACGTAACTAACTAACTAACTAACTAACTACGTACTTAC